AAAAAAACAAAACATTATGTTTAAATTTTGCAGTAAGTAATGTGTTGAAAATCAGCCAAGATTCTTCAAAAGCTTCGTCAAGTTGCTCCCTTCCTACGCCAAGGCCTGTGTGGGTGTATCTGATGACTGTCTTGGCCTCAGGCCTGCGCCACCAAGAGCAGCTGGAAAAGCAGGCCTCTAATATGCAGGATTCCCCAGGCTTAGGAAGAGTGTGCAAAAGGTGCTGAGCAGTTGTTTAAAATGAGAACTGCCTGCTAGATGCTGCTTTTGTTCTCCTTTTCAAAATCAAAGAGCTAGCCCTTCCGCCTAGGATCCTAAAAACAAAAACAAAAAAACATCGTATGTACCAACTAAGAACAAACCAATGTATTTTCATGAAGTACAAATAGCTTGTTGACTCTTCTTTCCTTTCTTCATCAAAGCCATATCTGTAAAAGCTTGCAATAAACATCTGGTCTCAGGTTAAATCTAGAAACATAAATAAGCGCTCTACGAACAAGCAGTTTCCCTCTAGGAAGAAAAGGAGCAAAACACAAGACATATATGATGGATTTATATAAAGTTCAAAAACAAGTATAACCAAACTATGTTATTTAAGGAAGCATATAGGCCTATATTTATGAAAGATAGATTGATTTTGTTATCAAAAACCTCCCCAAATAGAAGACTCCAGGCTGAGAAGATTCACTGGTGAGCTCTATCAAACATTTAAAGAAGAAATATTAATCATTTTATCATCCAGAAAACAGCGGAAAAAGGAATACTTTCCAACTTGTTTTATGAAGCTACTGTCAATCTAACATGAAAACTTGTCAACTATTATAAAATAAAATCACAGACTAATATTTCACATGACCATAGAAGCTAAAATTCTTTATAATATATTAGCAAATTGAATCCAACAATATATAAAAAGGATAATACATTTTGACCAAGTATAGTTTATCCCAGGAATACAAGGATGATTTAATACAGGGATCAAGTATCAAAAAATACCCCTAGCTGGACAGTAGTTACAGCTGTAAAAACAGACTTTATTCAGGATTATTGTAATATGGGAAAAGAGACTTCAGTATAGAACTGCGCTCAATAAGTACAGCCTGGATAAAAGGTAATTTATAGCCAAGGAGTAGGGTGGGGGTGGTGGAAAATTACTAAGAGGAAACATGGAGTAAGGGGAATTCTGGCTAAACTGAATTAACGGGATTCTTGCTGAAGACAGGCCAGGTGATCAGAGATCCCCTGGGGGCCGGTAGGGGATGAAGAACCTGATCAGATACTGAGGGTGATCAGATACCAAGGGTGGGGGTTCTGGTTAAACTGATACAGCAGGGTTCTTGCTAAAACTAGATTTTACAAGGAAGTGCACAGGTGGGCCTAGGAGAAGGTTCAGGAGCCTGACTAAAGATGAGTCAAGCAAAGAATCTTAGTCACA